TTCTGTATCCAGTAGATAAAAGACTGCCTTGTCCTTTCTCAAAATAAATACAAAACATGGAACAACTAAATTTGGACAAATTAATCTTCAAAAGTGCTGCATGAAATTTTGTGTTATCTAATATTACTTGAACAGATTCAATGTACACATGCTACATTTTAACATTCTGATTCTTCATATTTACTATGAAATATTTCTACAGGATGTGGGATGATTGACCCTGAAAATATCCATGGAACATGGTCCTTCTTGCGAAGTTAATAACCACTCAACTAGTCAAGATTTCTTTTTATGGAAAATATGAATGTCAAATTCAATGATCATAAAGAGTCCCAGTGTTTGATGAAGCACACAAATTATGAAAAATTTTACTTAACTTTCTCCACCTCCTGTCACTCTTTCTCATGTCAAAATGCCCTAAATCTCTGATCTTCCATCAGTATAAGAGACAAGTTTGACATGCACATAAAAGAAATAAACTAATAATTTTCCATGGAATTTGGTTAGAAGACCTTTCAAATCATGCGTCGCATAGAACACAGCTGAAATACATATAATACAAGACAGTATATTGTACTTGCATTTAAATGTACAAACACGTGATTACAGTTGTTCCTTCCAAAATGTTTAAACTGAACTTATCGCTCGTTAGTACTTGAGGTTACATTTCACGCATAAATGACGTATCCGAAAAAAATGATCTGATCCACGTGTGTGGATGCAACATAAATGCAAAACACAAAAATACATATATCATGTCACATTAACTTACAACAACGTTTAAATGTAACACAACTGATTCAATATCGTTTTCCTTCCAAAATTTCGAACTCAACAAACCATTCCTTCATAATTGAGGTTATGATATTTGACGCATACCACGCTTTCCCACCTGCGTGCCATGCCATGATTTAACAACAACAAAAAAAAAAGTAATGTTGGTGACAATTGAATCGAAGCTGTCGAACAATTCAATTTCTGAAAAGTATCAAAGAATATAAATATTTAAACATTAACTGTGTGAATGTGTCCATTCTACTGAAGAAAATAGCTATTGGGCATTTCGCCCGTTCAGACCTTTCAGACTAGTCCGTGGTAATACTCAGGTCCATAGACAAAACACAAATTTCTTGTAAATTTATAATCCAAAAAGGGAATTAAGTCACGGTAGCGTAGTTTGTTGTTGGATTATGCTACAAGTCTGAATGTCGCGGCTTCTATTCGCAATGTCATTGGACTTCTCAGTGTTTTCAGTTGACCTAATCCTTTCAAGACTAGGACCCAAAAACGACTCAGCCTCTAACAGGAATGACTACCATGAGTCTTCCTTGAGGTAAAGGGCATAAAGAGCGGCCGACACATAAGGCTAACAAGCTCACCACCATCTGTGAATTGATCGTCTAGAAAATGCGGGAGCCTGAACATGTCACAATTCTATGGGCCCCCGTGGAATTGCCTTTTTCTTTTAAGTAATAAATTAGGTTTAGTTTTCATTTCATTCATCAGTAATCTGTCAGATGACAGGTCCACAGTCCCTACCAAAACAGTTCCTCCACTTAATGCGATCTTCTGTTTTTGGAAAGAGACTAGTCAGGAAAAGTGATAATGTGGTAGTTTTTCCATTTGCTTTCCACATCGCAGTACAACAGCCATTCAAACCACTCTAGTCACGCCTGTTGCTATATGAACTTGAACCATCTCGAGCATCATTTGCTCTGTGCTTCAAGTCGCTGCTTCCGGCATCAGTTTTTGGTTTTTGGTCTCTCTTTGTCTGATGCCTACCCTTTGACCTGTCCAGCAAGGGAGGCCCTGCCAGTAGCTATGCTATCGCTGGTATAGCTCTCACGGACCTTGGCATACTCAAACCCCCTCACCACGATAAGGTGGAGACACCAACGAGGGGGAAGTTTTGTTTATGTCTGTATTTGAGACAATATGTTCTACTCTTAAAGGGCTGTGGTATCGACAAGAAGAGTTCAGATATCTTGCATTATTGGGTCCCCTAGAATCCTGTGCAATATATACATATATTTGTGCAGCAGATATTTCTTGGGATGTGCTTTCACTACTTTAACCCCACAGCACAGAGTGCCATGAAAGTACGCTTCTCTGCACAACTAATGAGCCATACTGCTGCAGCAAGCCTCAATGCTCTGGAGGCTACATGTAAGGATCACTGCACTGTAACATAGAAGACTGGGAGAGAAAAGAAATTTGTCTTCTAGAAGGGAGAATACAGTAAATGAACTCAGAAGTATGCAGGGCTTGGGGAAGTCCAAAACTGAAAGCTGGGACAACACTGGAGGAACTGCATATCTCCTGACAGTGCAACAAGAACATTTCTTTGTCAAGAAGGATACAACAAAAATAATTTGGAAATCACTGGAGACCAAATTTCAGAATGACTTTCCGGAAGAAAACCAATTAAGAACAAAAACGTTTCCTTTGTGAAGGACTGTCTAGTAAATAACAGCGAGTCCAAAATTAGAACGGGGGTACTCTNTTTGTTTATGTCTGTATTTGAGACAATATGTTCTACTCTTAAAGGGCTGTGGTATCGACAAGAAGAGTTCAGATATCTTGCATTATTGGGTCCCCTAGAATCCTGTGCAATATATACATATATTTGTGCAGCAGATATTTCTTGGGATGTGCTTTCACTACTTTAACCCCACAGCACAGAGTGCCATGAAAGTACGCTTCTCTGCACAACTAATGAGCCATACTGCTGCAGCAAGCCTCAATGCTCTGGAGGCTACATGTAAGGATCACTGCACTGTAACATAGAAGACTGGGAGAGAAAAGAAATTTGTCTTCTAGAAGGGAGAATACAGTAAATGAACTCAGAAGTATGCAGGGCTTGGGGAAGTCCAAAACTGAAAGCTGGGACAACACTGGAGGAACTGCATATCTCCTGACAGTGCAACAAGAACATTTCTTTGTCAAGAAGGATACAACAAAAATAATTTGGAAATCACTGGAGACCAAATTTCAGAATGACTTTCCGGAAGAAAACCAATTAAGAACAAAAACGTTTCCTTTGTGAAGGACTGTCTAGTAAATAACAGCGAGTCCAAAATTAGAACGGGGGTACTCTGTTTCATAATGCACAATGACAAATGGTGTGACGCCATTAACAATCGGACAAATTCAAACATTTTAAGATATAGAAATTAAGAAACTATTAAATCAATTTTAATAATTATGTTATTTTACAGCTTGACTTCTTGAACACTGTAGCGTGTAGACCTGTTACTATGTAGTAATCACATATAAACAGGTTCCAACGGCAATGAATCAACATGCAACAACAGAGGAACTGTTGGAAGCAGCGTTTTCTGTGATCCGCACTGCAGCTGCTGCTAAGCAACGGTGTGGTAAAGACATCTCTACAGCAATGAATCGACACTCAACAATAAAGAAACTGGCAACAGTGTTTTTTACATGGTCCATGCCAAGGGGTTATCAATGGGACAAGTTTAGGGCTTAGTTCCGTTGTGGGATATGTTCCAGATGGTAAGGACATAAGCACACAGAGTTAAAACCTGGAAAAGACTCGTGATGACAGGAAACACTTTATGTGTGCCCTAGTTACAGCAATGTTTGGAGTGTGTAGGTCAGTGAGACTGCTATAGTTACTTGTAGTTACAATCTGTTAAGTGGTCAATAAGTGCAATTACCAATCCAAACCCCATCTATGGTCACTCAAAATTGTGATGATACTTTCCCCTCCAGGTTATGATCCAGACAAATCTTATCCACAATCTTCCTTCCACAGTTTTTTTTTTTTTTTAATTTTAGGTTAAACTTACAGGCAGTAACTTATTAAACATAAGTCACAAAACAGAACTCTCAAACTATTTTATACAGCATGGTTTACACTATGCCACATCAAAATCTGCTCACTAACATAAATATTTCACCCAAAACTGAAGGCAATGAAATGGCAAGAATTCAGTGTAATGAGCACCCCAACTTTTAAGAACAAACATTCTGAAAGAAATGTGTGTAGTATTAGAATAAATATGGTAGTGCTTCTTTCAGAGGATTTTGACCTGCTGATACTGAGAAATTTACAGTTACATGAAATAAACATTTCAAGTACAATGGGGCAAAATGCTCACATATATTACTGTACTTCAGATCACATGACAATTACGACTCTCTGAAAAAAATGTAAGTTAAATTCTATATTTCAGCATCCTGTTGCAAAACTTTAATTAAAACGTCTATGTATCCACAGTCCGTCAATAATTGTTTATTCACCATTTAACACTTTAATACAACATGTTTCGGCCATAGAGGGCCATTTTTAGGTGTCTTAATATATTGAAACTGTTACACTGCTCTAATGTGCGCTAAAAGAAAGCAGGCTGCAGTCCACTTAAAAATAATTAAAATCCATTAAAATTTTTCATTATTTTCGTAAAATCCTATTCAACCTCATAAAGGGCTTCGTCCACTTCTTTAGAGCTATGTGATTATTCCAGGTTTGTTTCAGCAGCTGTTTCTCTGTTCTGGAATAATCACATAGCTCTAAACAAGTGGACGACGCACCTTATGAGGTGGAACAGGATTTTACAAAAATAATGAAAAATTTAATAGAAAATTTTAATGGATTTTAATTAGTTATTTTTATGTTATTTTTAAGCGGACTGCAGTGCGTGATTTTAGCACACATCAGAGCAGTGTAACAGTTTGGTTGCATTAAGACACCTAAAAATGGCCATCTATGGCTGAAATGTGTTGTGTTAAGTGTAAAATGGTGAATAAACAATTGTTGCATTATTGACGGACTGTGGATACATACACATTTTAAGTAGGTTAAATGTATGAGGTTTATGGTTCTTGTGGCTGTGTATTAATATTATGGTCTTCTAAGAGGTGACACTATATAGTTTTGGACAGGATTAAATGTTTTAAGGAAGCTTGTGTGTAAGGTCACTTCTTGCAAGATAGTGAAGAACATTTGTGGCAATATGATTTGAAAAGGACATGAATCAGTAAAATGTTCACTTTAATATAAAACTGTAATCATTAAAAAGTCCTTGCCCACAGATAACATTACTTTATTGTTGGTGTATGAAAGAAGTGCATATTACAGGTATTAACTTCAAATGCTATCATCACACTTGAGTTCATTTCACCAGTTTCTTCATTCTACAAAGGAACTGCAGCTGGAGCATCTTCACTTCACCAGATGTAAGTTTGCCAACTCCCTGTTCGTTATCAATGGACAACAGCTACCCCATAGCCTCCCGATCTTCTCCCAATATAACTTTCACTTGATCAGAACGCTGTGGAACAATTGGCTCCAAATGTTCCGAAACAATGTTCACTACTCGATCTTCATCAGGCAGGAACACTGAGCACATTCCACCCTACAAATAAATACCATGATTAAGATTTTTTGGGATATGGACCCATAAGTTGTGATAAACAGTCTACGAAGTCCATAAAACAAAAGAACATTAACTACTACATCAATAATTATATGACATAATTTTACTGCATACTATAAGAAATCATAAATGTTCTAGCAAGTCTTGTATAAGAAACTTTGCACAAATAATAAAATTAAAAGAACAGTGCAAATACCAATCAAATGCCATATACCACAATGGGACTCTTCTTGACTCTCCACACTTGCATTACATATGTTAAGATGTCCTGGAAATAATCTTTTAATCTTCCCACCAGAGGAGAAAACAGTAAAATTAAAAGTACTCTGGCCTCTCTAATATGATAAAAAGCAGTAATATATAATGTTCAAAGTAACAGATCCATTCCTGAGAAATTTCTAAGCTACCCAGCAGCTAAAA